TGATTATGATTATGATTATGATTATGATTATGATTATGATTATGATTATGATTATGATTATGATTATGATTATGATTATGATTATGATTATGATTGATTTGTTTTAGCCCCACAATCGATCTCTGATTGGTTCACACCGCTGACGGGGCGTTCGGAGTACCAAGACACCATAAGTAAAATGGGGTTAAGTATTATGAAAAGTAGTCAGCAATATGCTGAGCCTTTGCCTTCGTCGAGGCGACGCTATGGCGACATGTGTATGTAAAAATGTGCAAAGTTGCAATTTTTGTATTCGTCGTGTGTTTGTAATAAAATGAAGTTTCTTGTTTTAATTTTTTTATTTGGCGTTACAAACGGTCATTTTGACAATGGTGAGTTGCAAGAAGCGTTACAGGGGTTGTAAAATCGTTTCCAGAAATAAATTTGGAGTGCAGGGGTACCAAATTCGAGAATGTTACCCTCACAGCGTATTATCCCGATTTTAACAACGATGAGGGGTTTTTGGACAAGAAGGGTGAAAATTTATCGACTTTGCAGGATTATCTCGATAATAGGGCCGAATTTGTAACCCTTGCGATGGATGAAGGGTTGAAGCTTCCATATGGTACGAAAGTTTGTATTCCAGAGTTAAATCAACATTTTGGGCACCGAATTATCCTCCAAGTTCGGGATACTTCAAGTGATTTGAGGGGAAGTGGGTACAAAAGGGCCGATGTTTGTGTCAGATCTGAAATTGATAGTTATGATGTTACAGTTAACCGACAAGTAACTCTCGTTTTTGTTTAATCGAGGTTATTTAACATTGCTGAATAAAGTGTAGGTTCATGAGGTTTATTCATTGTTTGGTCCCGTTAATGAAATTAAAATTAAATTTAATGAATAAAAAATTGTTACTTTCTCTTGGTTTGCGGTCTAAATATTCGATGATGTAGGGCGGCGATTATTATTCTATTCGCCAAATTTACAGTAAATAAAGTTTAGAATTATTGAACTATTTAATCAGGAATCTATTTTCTTGTCCATTAAATGCACACAAATGTGCAATTTAGCATTTTTTACAAATACAAAGTATGAAATCAACGATTTGCTTTCAGAAAAATTAGCTTTTTTGCCAGTCAAAAATTTTATTCTTAAAAAAGCAAATTCTGTATAAAAAAAATTAAAAAAACATTTTTTTGCAAAATTAAAAAAAAATCGTTAGAAATTTTGTTCTTGAAAAAACAAAAAATCTTGTATAGAAAAATATGAATACTTAC